TGAAATATAGATAACTTCATAATTCTTGGATTTTTTGAGTACTGGTAATTGACAACTATACATGTTGTAATGAAATATGATAACTTCTTTTGTTTTTATTTTGTGAGTACGCTGGTGCAAAGTTATTGCGGAATGATTAATGTGAAACGTCAAAAGATATTTCTTAGATTTGGTGGACTATAGTTATATTTAAATATTTATTTTTATCGACTTTGAAATAAGTACAGCGCATTCAGATTCTTAAGTTAGTTATGCATTGATAAAAATTTAAACTACTTTCTATTTTATATTTACATGTGTGCATATAACATTTATATTAAAATGAAATTTCTTGTGGCTGGTTTTTATCAGGGCAAAGTGACAAGTGCCCTCAGGCGAGCGTACTTTGGTTGTAAGCACATAGCTCACAGTAAGTGCGTAGTGTCAAATGAACAAACGAATGGGCCAGCGCCGAGTTTAATGAAAGAATAGATTTTTGATGTACACAGCTCGGTGCCACTAGAAGTTTAGAAATCTATATTGTAACATAGTGTGGTTTTTTAGAACATTTTGGTGATATACAGGCTAGAAGGTTTATTAAAAAAATTAGCGCTAGTTTTTTTGGAAATTTAGCTAAAAGTGATATTAAAGTATTTTATCTGTTGCTAGAATAGGCATTATAACACCATGAACATGCAGATCACTTGAAATCTGTTTTATTTCCAATTTTTTTTTCACTTTTTTAACCGATTCGTTGCGACACCAATTTTCGACAACTTTTAGCTGTGGCGGTGAACTTATAATATTCCGGAACACGCCTGTCGTGTCAAGCGCCATAGAAGTTGATGAGACGCCTATTGTGCCATCAGCCATGTGTAAAAACTAAAAATAATGTCCGTTTTTATGCTTTTTTCATTCGGATAGACCTGACTAAGTATAGTTGACATCAAACATCAGTTTCAAACGGAAGGATACTTGTTTTAGTGGCTAACTACGTCTTTTTCTAGGTGTTTTACTTGAAATGGAGAGTTAGTGAAGTCACTTTTTATGCAGAGATTACAAACCTTTTGTACTATTTTTTGTTTAAAAAAATAACGGAAAATAATATGGTGTTTTGTGTAAGTGGAATAGAAGCTATCCTCGAAAGTATTTGTAAAGTATAACAAAATATAACCAGGTAGGCAAAATTTCCGAATATCCAATAAAATGCTTAAATCAATTCACTCTACGACGTTTGCGTAAAACTAAAAATAGGCTGCGATCGCCAGTGAATGTAAGTTATAAGAGCGAGCGAGACGCATGCACATCTTTTGTTATGTAGGCGCCAGACGGACGAGCGGCCGACACATCGTTGCAGCCAACATTTTTAGAATCAGTTGATCGCGCCTTAAGTTACCAAAAATTATTTTTTCTTATAAGTATTTAGGCACTTTTGATACTTATTTTGACTGCCTCGTTGGTCTAGTTCTTGTAGTAGTGTGACAACTGATCGTGAGGGCCTGGGTTCGAATCCCAGGTCGGGACAAAAAATCTATTGAGTTTTTCCGTCAAGAAATTCTCGGTAGCTGCCCGGAACAGAAATTTGGCGGTGTCTCACCTTCGTGCCTCGGAAAGTATGTAAAGGCGTTGGTTGGTGGTGTTTTTTTTTGCGTATAATGTCAATGACCTTAAAACGTTCAGTGTAAGTAGATCTCTCAGAGCTACTAGTTATTGCGTATTAACGCAAGATTCATATACTGGTTATTAGTAAAATACTTGGTCGATAAAAGAATGATTTAAAATAGCAGCACTTCTCATTGCCACTCTTTCATCAATAATGCCGTCGCGGGTCGCATGTTGGATGTGTAAGGATTTAGACCAAGATAATTTTGTTTAGTTAAATTATAAAGCAATATCTAATATCGTTTTCTTGCTTAAGGACCTAAAGTCGGATTAAGTTGTGTTATGTGCAAATGCGCCCCGGCGCTCTACGGTGGCGGATGAACAAAAAACTATTTATTAGTGAATGCGTTCGAACGGTTACAAAAAAAAACTAAACAAAAAAAAAACCTTATACCATATCACAAGAGCACGTGATAATTCGTAGGTCCGTTCGGCCGTATGATAGTAATAAGGCGGCAATTCAAACATTTTAAGCAAAATTAAAAAATGAGACAAACGATTTCTTTTAAATAGGAGACTTAATGATTTCTTATATTTACGCGAACACTACACATTGAAATAATACTGGTTTTTACGGAATTTATCGCGTATATTTAACTTTTTAAATACCCAACGTTTCGAACGCTTTACAGCACTCATGGTCACGGGCAGGACTCCTCCAGTCCTAAAAAAGGTTGTCAACCCCTAAAAATTTCAAATTCTCAAAATATCCAGATACGAAGCTCTAGGCATAAACTACTTACTAAATAATAAATATTTTGTTCTTGATAAATCTTACAAAAACGCAATTTGAGCAAGCTATAAAGATTTTCAAAATGACGACTCGTGTCATACGCCACATAGAAAAATTATATGCATAACGCTTGGAGTGCCATCCGCACTGAATCGGTTAAAATATATTTTATTATAATTTTATAATATCGGAATTTGTAGCATCATTTAATTGTCTTCGGAATAAATTGATCGACTAATGATATACAAATGGTGCTTATAATATAATTGAACAAATTTAACCATTGATTTTCACTTAAATGTCAGATTCGGGCAGCTATGTTTTAAATAAATATAATATTTTTGTATTTTAGTTTTGAAACTCGAAATAAAAATACTTATTTTAAAGTCGATTTTGCGGTGAAAATATTATAAATGACTGATTGTATTGGTTGTTTTGATTCTTACAGTAAACAGTCGTTATCAGAATTTTTGTTTTTGGCATGTTCATTGTGGGATTAATGATTTTAACAATGAGGTACATATTTAACATTATTTATTAAAAATGTTGAACTGACATATAATTTTAAAACATATACATTTAATGCTAGGTGTAGTAAATATGGTAAAGAGCCAGAGCGCATGTGTTCTAAATTATTGTTTACAAAAATATATGTAGAAATCTTATAAATATTTATTAGTATTTTAATTATTTTATGTTACTCATATATGAAATATGTTATGTAGCTATGTTGTATGTTTATGTATTGTTTCTAGTCCGCGTCGTATTGGGAGCTAGAAAATGATTATGAGATTACTATTTTATTATCCGCGTCGACATTATAACAGGTAAAACGACAAACTATGTGTATGTGTATGTGATTTGTATTTGAGGTCTTGAAACCTTTTGTACAAATTTTAGACGTGTATTTGCTTTTTACTTGTAATTAAATTACTTTATTTTATATTATTTCTACGGCCCCATAAATTATTATTACAAATGTCCGTAAACACTAGGTAGATTTCAGGAGAAGGAATTTTTTTTCTCAATGATAAATTTTTAGTATCTACCTCAGACCAATGGAGAAAGAAAGATAGAGTGCTGCATACATTTCAATTGACGCAAAAACCAAGCCAAAATAATACTTACCATGGTTTTAGGTGCATATGTGTGTCTATAAGTTAATTTTTACGGGTTATTAAGGAAGGAAAGAAAAAAGGATGATGTGTGCATGTTTTACCATCATTTGAAATGTTCACAGCGTTCCATCTATCTTTCTTTGTTCGTCCGAGGAAGACACTAAAATGTTTTATTATTTAGAAAAAATTATGGTGGTAAACACAAGAATTTTTATATTTATTTTAAATGTATTTTCAATCATATTTTTAATTTATCAAACAATTTTATTCTATGTTATGTTATTTATAAGTTGTAAGTTTATTAACTAAAATTATATGTTTCAGAATTTCTCATAGTAACTATACCTACTTGTTTTTGAAATTGTTTTTCTTATAATTTAAGTAAGTTTGCTCAGTAATTTAAATTATGACTTCGTTGTGGTTCAATATGTCACATTAATATTTTAACATGAAAATATTATATTATATTGCTTTTATAAATATTATATATCTATTATCATAACTCTTTTTAAATACTCTCTTCTTACGTTTTATATTAAAATATTGCGATAAACAACTAAATTGCACACACACTACTTCTCAGCTTTTATCATCTGTTTCAAAATTTGTATGTTATTTTTGAATTTAAAAATTTGAAAGCTCTCAATCAAAAATATGTTCCATAATGTGTTCTTTGACCTATGTTAGATACTTTTCCACTTTAACACTTAATAAATCGAAATAATAAACCAATCCATATTATTGGTATGTATAATGTAACTGAAGTACTTTAAAACAATATTATAGTTATTATATAAAATTTGCTCATACTATAATATTATAATTATAGCGCATATTATTGTTTGGTTTTTCGTAAATACTATTTTTTTTCTAGTGTTGCAAAAATTCTTAAGTTTTGCAAAATGCAAAAAGGCATCACATATCACATTTCATTTGTACAAATATTTCAATTTAAATTATTGATTTGTTTAGTTTATTTCATTACTCGTGCGCAGTATTCCTTGCACTTCCTTTCTTTCCATTCACCCAGGCTTTTGCACCTAATCTGTATTTTAAGTGTTTTAGTTTATACAACAAGTGTTCAATTTTAAAATATATTTGTTTATTGCTAAAACTTTTTTGTTTTCATAGTAAATATTTAGACAAATTTCATTAGAACAGAAATGTAGCTACAATATGTCGCATTACTTCATTTCAGTCGATGGTCCCGTACTTTAAATGCCACGTTATCCTTTTTTCATTAAAATGCATTTATACGTATTTACGTGTATATAATTGTTGTTTTTTTTTTAAATTCAGATTTAATGAATTAACAAATCGTTGCATCATAGTATGATTTTTATTTTTCGTTTTCAAAGTCTAAATATCTAGGCATGACAATAGCGTTGTAGATGCATAGGTAGGCAAGAGGGACAGTCGAACTGTATTTGTAAAGCGACATAGTTGTCGGCGAGTGAGTAACGGTGCCCCCGTCCCCCGCCCCCCGTCCCCCGTCCCCCTCCCCGCCCATGCCCCATGTCCGTGGTGTTGTAGCGGGCGGCGCCTCAGCTGAGCGCGTTGGATCGTTGCAGAATGATGTGGATGCACCGACGCCGCCTCAGGAGGAGACTGCCTCACTACACTCCGGGAGCATCGCGCACATCGGCAACTGCGAGTGTACGCCGTCCACCGCCATCGGGGCCGCTTCGCCGCCCAGGAACTGCAGGGGCGCCCCGCTCTCCGGGAGCTGCGAGGTCACGGCCTGCTCTACGCTCGCCGGGAGCTTCGCGAACGTCGGCAACTTCACGACCAGCGGGAACTCTTGCGGGCCAGAATTCCCCGCCAGGTCGCGTGCTTGCGGAGACGCCCTCGCCCGCACGGCTTCGCGACTCCCCCAGCTCGAGCCGAGGGCGTAGCCCCCGCCTCGACCTCAACAGAAATCACAAGTGCACTCTGGCATCCGACTCCTCATGCTGATGTCCAACTTTGTTCAGTGTTAGTTTACCGTTCCATTTCAGTTAAATAAAGTGATGAGTACATTGTGGAACTGTAAAAAAAATCGAATTTTCATGAAAAATTAACATTGTCTAGATGTAAGACTACAAATTAATAAATTCAATCTATTCATGAGAAACATTTGCCTGTTATATATTATGATACAAATTCCAGTGAAATTGGAGAGCTTAAATTGTAATGATACTTTTAAGACTATTTTGTTGTTTCGGATTATCAACATTCCTTTGCCTTCAGTTACAAAAAAAAAATCAATAAAGCATAATTTGTTTAATAAAGAGTACTATCTAATGCGAAATCAGTAAATTGATGGGTATTTTGTCTTTATAAATTCGGCTTATCGTTTATCTAAAGCATTTCTCTCAAAATCTTTTATCTAAATTTGGAATCAGGTTGTAATTTTCAAATTACGGTGTTCATTATTAATCTAGTGTTGCTAGAGTAGAAAATATATAATATCAAGATGTTTTTGAATAGAGTTCCAAACCTATATAAATCGTAATAGAAATGTATATAAATTTATATATCAGTGAACTGAAAGTTGATAATCAATTTCAATTATTGTATTCATTCCTTCACAAAATAAATGTGAAAACTCCTTGAATGTTTGTTATAATTTATTCATCTGGTATCAAAAATTTTAATGCCCCAAATAAAAATATGCTCGGCTGTGTTTTATAGTTAGACACAACGAAATAATTATTTCGTCATATTATAATAATTGAAAGATGGATTGAAGCGAAAGCTTTATTTTGTAAAGATTTTATTTTAACTTTGAATATATTTAAAATACCAAGAAATGCATTTATATTAAGTGTACTGCATGTAAAAATGTCGCGAATAGCAACACTAAAATTTGAACTTGAAGAAACCATTGTTATGCATATTTTGAATGATTAAATTAATTCTTTGATTTATGTACGTAATTTAACTTTAATCTTATTGTAACCTCTTGTCGAAGAGTTGACAGAACAACCTGAACTGACCCTAAGAACTTTATATTAAAAATTAAAAAGTAAGATGTCTTATTTAATTTCCAACGTCGAAATATGCGCGGTATGTTCGTTAGTAATATTTTGATTATAACATTGGTAAATAAAATACAATAGAAATATCATTGTGGAGGTTAAAAAATCTGGAGATGCCGGGGATCGAACCCGGGGCCTTTCACATGCAAAGCGAACGCTCTACCACTGAGCTACATCCCCATGTTTGAATTTAGTGAAATTTTTAATTTTATTCGACAACCTAGTAATTTTGTATTTTTATGATTGCATGCTAATGAATTGAGCAAGTTCGCTTGTATTTAAAAAATATTTAGTATTCACGAAATGTGTGACATTTTAGATGTTCTAGTTTGTTTTTCCAACTACTTTTATAAAATGGAATACAGGTATAAGCAGATACTTTTACGTCGTTGTATTTCAACTAGAGGTCGAGATGAAGATAAACCACAATATTTGAAGATACAAAATTGGAGCCTATTTAATTCTATTAAAGGTGCAAATGGGTTTGATTTTTTACCGACTTCAAAAGGAGTAGGTATTCAATTTGAGTGTATGTTTTTATGTGTTTATATTCATCCCGTGTTCATAACTTTTCTCTGGGTGAACCGATTTTGATGATTCTTTTTTTATCTGAAAGCTGGTGCTTCTTGTGTGGTCCCATACAAATTTAATCAAGATCTGACGTGTAGTTTTTGAGTTACCTTTAATAATGCGTATTTAATTGACTTCGAATACAATTCGATCCTATTGAGGTGGGTTGTACATGTTTTTTAATTTTACCTTTTGTTGTTTGTTTTAATCATTATTCGATTTGTTTAATTTTAATAAATGTAAAATTTTTCGTAACAAATTATTTAGCTAGTTGTCAGAAATCATTGTTGTATAATATTTCGGCAATTTTTAACATTTTTTTTTCTTCAATTAGGTACATAGTCCTGAGTTGGAAAATTTAGTTTTTTTTGGGTGGTTCTTGCATTTTCAGTGTAGCATTACGTCCGTATTTTTTGTAAGTCAGTGTCACTGAAGGGAATTTTGGTCGTAGGAATTTTTTAACTAAGTCATCTGTCATTTTTATATGTAAGTAAGCGTGGACAGCACACATAATTCCTTTTTTAATCTTTAATTAAAACTACGAACTTCTCGTATAGCTATCGCCAATTAGGGAAGATTTGCGATTACACCATGTCTCTGTCTCGAAAAAAGTCTTATTTCCATTCGGGGTAATGTGACCGAGCGTGCGGGTAGGTATAGCTACAAGTCACTTTAATCGACTGTATTGTACATATACATATTATGTTTGCAATGTAATTAACGGTTAATTTGGTGTTTTTGCAAAATGGGGGTGCCATTTTATTTATTTATTTATTTATTCATTTATTGCATCCCGATTACAAAAGAATACAAAGAGCGGACTTAATGCCATGCGGCATTTGAATCGAGAGTTTAAAAACGTTTTTAAGTTAACAGCACGTGCCGATATAGCCTACGGACTTAATCTTGGTTTGAAATCGTATTGACAAGAAAATCATACTGGTTCTACGACTTGCTGAATATTGCATGCTTTTCCGCAAAAAGCGTTCGAGATCCTTGACGTAGATATTGCCATTTTAAGTGTTGCTCTCATTAAAAATTCAAAATGTTTTTCAAGCTTGTATTTATGTTTCATATTACAATTTTTAATTTATATCATGCCAACACCAGTTACGATGACTTGAGTTATTTATTTTCTTGCCATGCCTACCATCTGTTCTGCTTATCTCGGTCTGACTAGTAAGTTTTTTTATTCCTTTTTCGAGTCGCCATTAGTAATACAAAAGATATAATAGTTTGAGTTCAGTTACTATATTTATGAGATGAGAAATAAAATGAAATGTTTATTTGTTGAACATAGGTAGTTATTATATATGATAGAATTTGGTAAGGTAGGTATGTTTTCCCATATTATGTTCTGCCTCAATCATAGGTACGCAAATGTTTAATTTTTTATTACATATAATTGTCACAGTGTGAAGTTATTAATTTAGAAAGTCATTTATAGAATACCAGTTTTTTTCACACAACCATTCGGGACTTTCCTTAATTTTACTTGGAACCCTACTATATACACTTTTATTTTAGTTTTTAGAACCTTATTGCCCTTTAGTATCCTTGTAACGTTAAGATTATGACTAGCGTCTTTTGCAGCTAATTTTGGGTTTTTAACTGTGAATAACTGCAGATATATTTTAACTGTAAATCATAATTTTTCAAAATCTACGTTGTGTTCATTAACGTAACGAAATATGAGTGTAGTTTTTTTTATATAGGATAAGGGTGACAAACGAGCACACAGTCCACCTAAGTGGATGTTGTGGCCCATAGACATTTACATTTAACCTCGATTTAGAATCAAAATGCAGATGCGTTGTCACCCTTGAGATTAAGATGGAATGCCACGATTCCAATAAAACAGGTCTCCGGTTCTCTACCTCACCATACGAATCACACCAGCAATAAGCTGCTATTTTACGCTGGTATTCTGTGAATTTAGTTGATAGCGTGGTCCTTCCCCGGTCGAGCCGACACATTCATGCTACAACCATAATATAGCTGCAGCATGGCTCTACCACGTATAAAAGTTGTAGTGTTGCAGAACAGGGGTAATCTAAATTCATTGTGCACATGCGGAATACCTGAGACTGGGGACTATATTTTATTACAACTTTAGAACTTTTATGCCACCTAGCTATAGCTATTTAAAGTTTTAACTTATTTTTATTCAAAAACAAGACATAATTCCATCCTATTTGCTTGTATTGCGCCTTAAGATTTACCAAACTTTATATCGATGTCCCCAAGTTATGTGATTAATATAGATTTAGTAAGGTTTTCCTATTATTAAAATAAAAAAATTAAATTTCTTAAGTATTTGCATTTTGGCAGATCAAAATCATTTAATGAACTTTTTTATTGTCATTGTGTTTCTTAAAATTAATTTAAATTAGTATTTAAACAGTTTCATGTTTCACTTTTGAATCATGTCCCCACAATAAGTTGGATTTTTACGTAATTTATATTTTTCGTAGAATTTATCAAGTTTTGTTGTCTAACAGCTGAGCTAGTTGAAGTACCTACAAAAATAACGAACAGGACATCATAAAACAAACTGCGATATATTGAGCGTTTGACCGGATACTTTAGAAAAACGCTTTGATTATTAATAATATTACAAAAAGTTGTCCATTTTTTTTTGAAAATGAATTGTCAGGGATAATCCGTACGTATTTAATTTAAAACGTAGAGAATTAAAATCAACTTAATTAACGCAATAAAATCTGTAAAAGTAGTTTTATTCAATGTGTAGTGTTCGCGTAAATAATCTATTTAAATAATTATAATAAATGTTTTCTGCAAAACTAGACTATGGGGATATTCAAAGCATATTCAGCAAAATATATTTATTTCAGCACATATAGAATCTTATATGTAGTAGGTAAATAAAAGTGTTCATTTAATGACAATGCAAGTTTTTGCCTAAAATCCTCATTTGTAATTATCATTACCATAACATTGAATATAACACACATTACACAAAACCATATAATTTAACTACATTAATTTATTTTCAACACCATTAAGTTACGAACTAAGAAGTCTTCCAGCGTCGATGGCGTAATTACATCCGGTAATACTTTTAGCTTTGTCGCTTGCTAAAAATGAAATTAGATTTGCTACTTCTTCTGCCTCTATTGTCTTCTTCAACGGACACCTACCAACCATGTTTTTTGATAATAAATCCAACTGATCTTCGCTTAGGCCCAAATTTTTTAACAAATTAGTTTTCACGAAGCCTGGGTTTACAGAGTTGACTCTGACGCCATCAGGGCCTAACTCCAACGCTGCGCACTTTGTAAAAT